CTTTCGGTAAATCGATGTAACACCCCGCGTGCAATGGATTATATTTGTTTATATTTAGCATTAAATTCTGTATACGTAATAACGCCCACCCGCTATCACGTTCCTAGAATTCCTCCCGCGTTGCTAAAGTGGGCTCGATAACGCGCAAGTTATACCACCCCATGTGCGAATGTCGGACTTCTGCCAGAGTTGTCCGCATGGCCCAGAAGTGGCACAATATTGGCTGCCAAGACTTGATGAGTGGCACTGCCCCAGTACGGATAAACCGCTAGATCAGTATTGTGCCAGTCTCGGTGACCAGTACTCCCATGCAACCATATTCTGTTCCGAGGCGAGTCTCGTCTCAGGATTGGCCGTGTATAAGGCCAGAAGTGATATTGATCTACGGCCGAAAGTCGGCTCAGTACTGGGGATGTATTGGGTCGACTTAGAAAATTTTCGCTTGGGACCGGAGGTAACAACCGCGTAAAAGCAACACGCCGCGAAAGGACTTAACTTTTTGCTCGAGCGGCGCCGGAGGTAACAACCGCGCGAAAGCAACACGCCGCGAGGGGACTTAAAAAGCTTTTTGCTCGAGGAGCGCCGAAGGTAACGACCGCGGCGCGGAAGCAACACGCTGCGAGGGGACTTTTCGCTAGAGTCCACGCCGGAGGTAACGACCGCGTTCGTGCCTCTCGGTTACAAGTACCTCGAATTATGGTATCATTCGTCTCGCTTCGCGTTTCGCCTCCGGCGCCCGTAAGCGACCGTGCGTAAGACCGTGCGTCGCCGATCGCTCGGCCGGCCGGTTGGGTACTATAAGAGGTTCGGTGCGCTCGGCGAGCCGAGCGACACGAGCGATACGTACAGACGTGCAAACGCGTTTCGCTTGGTCCATACGAATGTGTAAAACGACGTTTGTGGAATACGTACACGAAAGGGGCACGTACGACGAAGTCGATGCGGGGAGCATTGTTTCCCAATTATATTTTGTTCCGAGGCGAGTCTCGTCTCAGTACTGACCGTGTATAAGGCCAGAAATGATATTGATCTACGGTCAAAAGTCGGCTCAGTACTGGGGATGTATTGGGTCAACTTAGAAAATTTTCGCTCGGGACCGAGGTAACAACCGCGCGATAGCAACACGCCGCGAGAAGATTTAGAAAGCTTTTTGCTTGAGCGGCGCCGAAGGTAACGACCGCGGCACGAAAGCAACACGCCGCGAGTGATATGGCAATCAGTGTTGTCTCCGTACTAGTACTCTGTGTCGGGCCAAAGTTGGCGCCAAGAGTTAGCCCAATACTGGCAATCAGTGTTGTCCCCGTACTAGTACTCTGTGTCGGGCCAAAGTTGGCGCCAAGACTGGGACCCGTGTTATCATTCCGACATTGCCCCAGTAATGACCCCGATTTTAGCTTGTACTGGCCCAGAATCGTCAGCCAGTACTGGTAACTCTGGCACCAGTACCAAGCCAGCACTGAGCCTTTTTGAAATTCGCACATGGGACGCTTCCAAATCGGACTCGCGAAAGAGTTCACAGTTTTTCGTATTGACACTTTTATTTGCGCGTTTATCGCCCGCCACAAACTCACCGTTGAACATTGTGTTTATTTTTACACCGTCATGTTCTTGTATGACGTTCCGCACATGATTGAATACAATGTTTCTCGCATCCTCGAGAAATTTTCGCGGTTCAATGTAATCGGTATTGATTACCGCACCAGTCAATATGCGGCTTTCGAAAGCCGTATCTATCTTGCGCCATCTGAGTCCTGTCTCACCCGCACTGTATCCGGCACC